GACCATTTTCATCTCCAGAATTAAGGATTATTTTGATGTTACATCATTGCCTTTTCTCTTTTACTTTCCTTTTTAGTTTTATTTTAGGATTCCCTAATTTTAATGTTCATACAGAGATTTCTTTAACTGAAATACCGAATAGTTTCTTTGGTGCGAAAAACTATAATAGTACACAGGATCCTAATGAGACAATTAATAATGTTAAATAGGAAGTAAAGGGCTAAAGGTGTAAGGAAAGTGGGAAGGGTGGGGGAAAGGTAATAAGGGAGAAGGAAAAAAATATGAGAAACTGAAAAAATGGAAATAAAGTGTTTGTAAATGGGGGGGGGTGAAGGGAGGGCAGGGACAAGGGGAAAAAATGAGAATCAAGACCTATTATGTAAAGGTACAGAATCCCAATGATGAATGTAACTGTATTGTATGCCTAGATTGTACCAATAATCTCAATTAAAAAATAAATAAATAAATAAAGTTGGGGTCCTTGTGTTGTCCAGAGAGACCTGGACTGGTGGCCTGAGCTCTCTGGAGATAGCAGTAGGGCACATTAACATACAGTTCTGCCTGGGGGCTGAAGAAATTCCCACAGATCAAACATAAGATGGAGGCCTCATGGCGATAAGGCCTTTGCCTGTGTTGGCAATAGCTCAGGTGTGGCAGCTACTGGGAGCTAAAGAGACAGGATGCCCCGATGTCACCCCATGTCTCAGGTGAGCACAGATCTGGAGACCTTTCTGGGCCTGTCAGGGCCAGGTGCACAGGTGCGGAATTGCCTCTGTCTGTCTCTCTCTCTAACGTGTGTGAGACAGACTGAGTGCACAGCACTGCTGTTGCCAGAGACTCTAATTTGATCTTAAATTCTTTTTATAATGACTGTGTTTTCATTAAAGGTACATGATCCTTGTAAAAACAAAGCAAGACTAACTCTAGACATAAAGGAAAACACAAAGAAAAAAGTAACACACAGGTCCCAATCTTCTGGAGATAACCTATTGTAGTAGTTGATCAGACCACTTTCTAAATATCTCTGTGCACATTTCTAGACAGAATTGATAGCTAGAGAAATGTGACAGATAGATAATTTTATAACAGAGGTGTCCCTTTTAGACCTCTTATTTTCAAAACAAAACCATATTTAATTCCTTTGACAGAAGACAATGAAAACAATATAAAGCAATGCTGACAGAATTGCTGAACTTCAAATAACTGTACCTTCACCCAGTAAATTCATTTTTAGATGTCCCTGTAAGACAGTGATTCTTATCTGAGGGTGTTTTTGTCCATAGGGGACATTGAGCAGTGTCTAGAGATATTTTGGTTGTCACAGTGAGGGACCCGAGGCTTCTGGTGTCTGGTGACGGAGGCCAGGGATGCTGCTCACCATTCTGTAAAGCAGGCACAGCCCTTGCAGTAAACACCTCTGCAGCCCAAAGTGCCAGGCAGTGCCAAGACTGAAAAACTGCTTCTAGGGTCAGAAAAGAGATGAATAAAAGGTGACATTATTGTAGCTCAGTTACAGTTTTAGATAACCTTGATTGGGCTTCTGGAATGATAGATGGAATGATTAACATCATCCTAGTTATCCCTGTCCTCTGCCGACGAAAAACAAAGAGGCAGTGTCCATTATTTTGCCTTGTCAACAGTTCTTAATTCTACTGTGCAGTCTTCGTTTTCAGTTAAACAAGTCAGTGCCAAATACCCCGTCTCTAACCATGGTCCCCCCCTTTTCTTGGTCACCTCCTAGTAGATTGCTTTTTGATCTCAGTAGACATCTAGTGTGCAAGGGAAGGGAGGCGTCACCTAGTGCTCTGATTTGCCTTGGCCAGAGTTGCACCTGCAGATTTGAGTTTGTGTCTCAGTGCTGCACTCCTGAGGGGAGAGACCTGATGGATTGTCTCTAGGGTGCTGTGGGGGTGCAGCAGGCTCTTCTGGAGAAGTGGGATTGGATTTGGCATTGGAGTTAATTTCAGTGTGGGAGCAGGATTGTCAGTTTTCATACTAGAAGCTCTCAGAAGGCTAGACTGATAGTTGTGTGAACATCAGGGACCAGGTGACTGCCTGGGCTGCCCAGGCAGAGTGCTGGGTCCCTTTCTGACTGGAGTGTGCTGGGAGCTACCTATTGCTACATTATCCGTGGGCCCTGGCACTAAACCAGCCGGGGAGCTGTGTTTAGGTCAGAGCCACCTGTCCTGGGAGGAGTCCCAGACTCCCGTTCCCTCCTCCCTGATGTTGGGGACGGGCTGAGGACAGCCAGGGCCCAGGACATTGCGTGCACACTGGCTCAGTGAAGAGCCTCAGATGTTCTGTGCATCTTCAGTTTGGGCCCACTGTCGGCTGACTCAAAGTGTGTGTGTTGGATTCTGCCAAGCTAGTTCCAGTCCATGTCTGTAGTGCTTGCAGGAATGCAGGGCACGAGTGCATTCTAAAGCCATTTCTGAGCCAGCGCATGCATATTTGGTCCGGGCAGCATGTCGGCGAGCGGCAAGGGAAGACAGCCTCACAGATCATTCCCTGCGCGATTGGGATCGAGTGTGCTGCTCGGGTCACAGTCAGGAGCCTATTGCAATGTGACTTACCGATGGCTTTGTTTTGTTCCAGGGGAGCTATCCAGTTTGGGAAGATTTTATAAACAAAGCAGGAAAACTGCAGTCCCAGCTTCGGTAAGTAGAAGCCTTATGCTCCTCAGGAAGAGGGCAACATCCTTGGGCCAGAGAGGGTGGGGTGGATCCGCTTGTGCTTGGGGATCACTTGGCAGCAGCGCAGGCAGAGCCACATGCAGTGGTTCTGATGCCATTGGTGTGGCATCGCCCTTGCCCTGGTCTGCGCTGCCTCCCTCCCCCAGAATGTGTATAGCTCTAACTGTCAGGCACATGCTAGCTTGTTCACCTCTTACAATCCTCCAGAATGAATAGTTACCAGCCTGATGCTATAGATGAGGAAACCGAGGCACAGATAAGCTGAATGACTTATCCATAATCATTCTATAGTGATGACAGAGCAGTGATTTGAACTTGGGTGATGAGTTCTAATCCATCTTTATTGCCTTTCAACATAAAGGGTTTAAAACCTCATGTTGGGGGGGATATAAGTTCACTTCCGTGAGGTGTCTAGGAAAGCACATCTGTAGAGCCAGATGGACATCAGTGGGTGCCCCGTCTGTGGGCAGCAAAGGAGGTGGACTCCAAATGGGTGGTGGGATCTTCATTCTAAAAGTGGGTGGTGGTGAAGGTTGTACAACTCTCATTTTACTAAAGATCATTGAATAGTATGCTTAAAAGAGGCAAATTTTGTGGTGTGCCAACTGTGCCTTAGTAAAGATGCTTAGACCTGACAAGATCTGCTGTTGGTCTTCCCCAAGAAGCTATTGTTGTTGTCTAGTGGGCTTGTAATTAATTAATCATTGGATGTGATAGAAGATACATCAACATCTTTTTGTTGAAGCTACACCCCTTTAAATCAGCGTGGAGAAGGGATGGTATTGCACTGAGTGGGTGCCCCGTGAAGGTTGAAAGAAGTAATTATTTTGGTGATTCTCATCCGTGAAATGTGGGTGATTGAGATGGATGAGAAAGGTCCAGAGAGCAGCAGGGTCCGCAGGCATTTGTCAGGGTAAAGGACCATGTGGACGACAGACAAATGGTGGGGGTGTGGCCTTGCTTTAGCCCAGCCTCTGGTGCATCAGCAAGTATTTCCTAGAGCTTACACCAAGGACCTGGGTTCCCTGCCGCCCCTCTAGGAGAGAAGAGCCGGGAGGGCTGAATTTTTTTCTTTCATTCCTTCAGCTGCTGGGGGGCCTGGACTTAGAGTCCTAAGTAGCCTGCAGGTGGACTCCGGACTCTGGAATATGGCACCTTCTGCAGTGGCCCAGTCCTTTAGCATTCCCCTGCTCAAGAGCTTGTAACTACATTCTTCTGGAGCAGATGCAGCCTCCTCAGCTCTGAGTTCAAGCGTCTTCCCTGGCCTCACTTTGTCTTTCCCCACCTGATCACCACCACATTCATTGATTCATTCACTTGGCTATGCTGGGACTTTATTGATCTACATCCCTGGCCCTTTTGTTATTTTGAGGCAGGGTGTTGATGAGTTGCTAAGTTTCCCAGGCTGAGCTCAGACTGACCATGTTCCTGCCATCACCACACCGCTTGTTTGTTTTAGATGGGTTAGTCTGTGTCCTGTAGGAAGTCTCCTCCTGCAAGAAGACATTTAAAGACATTAGCCCAGCTATCTGTGGCCTCCCTTGACCAACCCACGAGCCCCTTGCCCTCTTTCGAAGAACTTAGAATGAGTATCCCACAGAGGAAATTTTGTTACTCCTATACATGCAGCCTAACACCCAGGCAAACCAAAGTTGGCCACCCATGATTTAATAAAACAGCATGATCTTAAGCCTTGCTGTTAGAGGGTACATCTTACTTGTTTTTTAAAATTTAGGCCTCCCGATGGCAGGGGCCATGTCTTTATTATTTTGTCAAACTACTAGCATACGGCTTAGAGGTTAATTTTCTGTACTAGAAAAGAGATAAAGATTGCAGAAGAAGCATGTAAGTCTTGGTGCACTTAACCTAAATCACTCCTGATGTCTTATGACTGTCAGAAAGTGCAAGGAGACTGTCGTGCAGAAGCTCTTACTTCCTCAGAATTTGTCACCACCCTAATCACTTGGGCGCCTTAGTGACTAACACAAGCCGCCTCTGCCACTGGGTGAGGAAGTTTGTGTGACTGACCCTGAGGTGAGTGCGACTAAATCCAGCCATTGTGTCAGAAATCAGTTGTAATTCACAGTGAGCTACTTATAAGTCCCTAGATGTACGATAAAGCTAACTTCTCCAAGGTTTGCATTTGATGTCAACTCTAAAAACTAGGCTTTGAAATGGAACTTTATGTGTGTGTATATGTCATTTTTTTTTCTTTAAATGTTCTTTAAGCAGAATATGTTCTTGCCCTCCTGGAAACTGTCAGGCCTTATTTTGAAGTCTGGCCCTCGGGGCCTCTTTGTAGCACTGTTTAGCAACCTTCTGCTTCGTGGCCACTGTGGCTGTTTCTTTCCTTTCTCTTCGTTTTGACCTTGACTTTCTAGTCCTTAGCCTTATTCCTCCTTCAGCAGCTTCACTTTCTCAGGAGTGGCCAGCAGAGATGAGCATCGCGTGAGCAGTGCTTGAGCCTGGTGTCCAGTTCCGAGCTGGGCCTGAGGTCCCCCAGGGCTGTTCTGGGACCTGCTAGTGTGGAGTCGCAGCTGTGGCAGGGCGCATTGCTTATTCCTCTCTGCATGACGCCGGGGTCCCACCTGCAGGAACCAGCAGGCTTGGGAGCATTCAAGGGAATGTTAAGAATGCAAGACATTTGTAGGATGTAACATGAGTACAGTAGATGTTCTCCATTTTTGGCTTTGACGGATTCAGAGGGTACAGTTTAAATAGCATCCTAATTGAAAATAATGAAACCTCACTTCATTTTAGTAGTGATTTAGGGGACAGTCACACTCCAGAACCCTGTGTTGGGTTGGAGTGAATGGGGCCCAAGTCACCCCTGGCGCGCAGCCCCAGCTCTGTGTGGGAGAATGATCCCTGAGGTCCGCTGGATCTGTGGCCTCAGTTTTCCTTTCACTACAGAGAAGGCTGAATGCCGTGACCTCTCCTAAGTCGATCCTTCCTTCAGTTCAGATGCATATATATTATTTCCCTGCTCTGAAGTTGGTTTCATCTGCACCATTTGTAATTTTTAATTATTTTTCTTTTGGATAGAAATACGTATCTTTTCCTCCTTTGCAGAATTTTGCCTGGTAGTACTAGTAACTTTATGGCCAGGTGAGATGGACTAGGAAGAAGGACTTGTGTTTGCTGACTGGCAGCGGGTGACCTGGGCATCCCTGGGGAGGTCTGTGAGGGAAGAACAGGGCTGGGCATCGGGGTTGTCTGTACCCAGGTGGATTGTCTCTCTTGGAAGGTTACATTCAGTGGCGGTTCAGCCCTTGAACTGTAATGAATTTGTCAGTGTGAGACATTTCCTCAGGCTTTTGTTATCTGTTTGCATTTTAGGACAACAGTAGTAGCAGCAGCTGCCTTCTTGGACGCCTTTCAGAAAGTGGCTGACATGGCCACCAACACACGTGGTAAGCAGATGGAAGGCTGCCTTCCAGTGCTAACTGAATTTGACATGTGGGCTTTCCCCCGGTTACTTCCCGAGAAGATGCAGTTTAAGTTATCAGAGCTTAGCTGACTCATATTTTGCATTTTTTAAACTCCGTGGTTCTATGTATTAGAAGGTATAACTAGTTCCCCAGACAGTAAAGCACATGTGGAGAAGAATGAAAAAGAAGAGGAACCACAGTTCCCATAGGAGATAGCCTGATAGTTTTTTGATCATTGTGGTGTGTGGTCCCCAACCTTTTTGGCATTAGGGACCTGTTTTGTGGAAGATGGTTTTTCCACGAATTGGGGTTGGGTGGTTTGGAGATGATTCATAGGGGAGCATGCAACCTAGACCCCCTGCCATGTGCAGCTCACAGTAGGGTTCGTGCTCCTCTGAGAATCTAAGGTCCACCCTGATGTGACTGGAGCTGGAACTCAGGTAGCAGTGAGAGCCACGAGCAAGCAAGGCAGCCTTGCTTGCTTCCTGCTGCCCCATCTTGCTGTGGGGCCCCTTTTCTAACAGGCCATAGGCCTGTCCTGGTCCAGGGGTTGAGGTCTCTGATGTTAATAATGACTGTGGAGCCCTGAGCTTTGGCTGCACACTAGTCTTCCCTCCTGGCATGGGTTATCCTGCAGTTTTCCATGTTCCTGGGGGGACTGGGACGCTGTGGAGGTGATACCATAGCCATTTCTTTAGATTCTCATCCAACCAAGGAACCCTTTCATAATGAGCAGGGTACCCAGCGGGTTGTGTGTATTTGTTTGTGTGTCTCCCACATGTGACTGCAGACTTGCTGAGCTAGAGACTGATTACTCACCTCTGAATACCCAGAAACATAGTACCCAGAACATTGTTGATGTTCGAAGTATGTTTATAAAGTCAGTAAACAGAGGTAAATCTGTGAAAAGGTTTAATTATGTCAGTGAGCACAAACATTCATAACTTTGAACTCACGAACATTGATGTGAAAGGAATAAGAAGAAAATAAACACCCCGTAGCTGTATCCATCTTTAGAATTACAGCGTTGCTAGTAATGTGGGGATCCCTGTTGGGGAGCCTGCGTTCCTTTTCATCCCGGGGCAGCCTCTCTCTTCTGCTGCTTTCTTGCCTTATCTTGCTGGGTGTCCCCCTTAAACTGGTAGCTATGCACCTTCTCCTCCTTGCCTGTCTGAGGGTTGGGGGCAAGGGTTGGGGATTGTTCCTAGTTGCATGAGGGCTTAGTTTCCCTGAAGCACACCATGGGTACCTCCAGCAGTTCTCAGTAGAGATCCATTTACTTCAGGGGTTTAATTAAATATTTGCATGGATGTGCAGCAAGGACATTTCTCATGTATGTAAAAAACAACTCCTTTTATTGGAGATGCTGCCGTAGGACTGCAGAAGTCAATACATTGCTTTGTTTGTCCTGGAGGAGCTTGAAATTGAGTGGGGAAAAGGAGACGTGTAAATAAAGTATGTCATCGTAGAAATAATACATGTGTGCAATAATTGTGGGGAACAGGGTGCTGGGGGAATATACAGAAGAGAGCAATTAACTCGGCTTAGGGAATTGAGGACGTTTTCCCAGGGGAAGCAGTGATTCTCCTCATTTCCAAGATGCCAGCAGTGTTTCCAAAGGTTCCCTGGGAGCGTGTGACAGAGGCATCAGAGCTGTGGTTTCTTCTCTGGGTTTTGTCAGCTCTGTGTGGACCTTCGCTGGTATCATTTTCTAAAAAGTGTTACATAGCGTTTGTGTGTCTGTTATAGAAACACCAGGAATTACAGCCCTGAAGAGCCTAGCATGCAAGCCAGTGCTCATAACTGTTAATAGATTGGATATGCTTTATCTTTTCTTCTGCTCAGCAATATCTGGAACCAGACTTGTCCTCCATACTGACTTTTTTGTGAAAGAGCCATCAGAATATGTCTTAGAAAAACAAATCAACAAAACTGTGGCTCTGTTTTGTGTGTGTGTGTGTGTGTGTGTGTGTGTGTGTGTGTGTGTGTGTGTGTGTGTGGGAGTATGTGTGGCAGTACTGGGGATTGAACCTAGGATCTTCAACCTGAGCTATATCTCCAGCCACCCCCTTAATTTTGAGACAGGGTTTCAAACTCCATAAGCTGCCCCCCCGTTGCTCTTAAACTTGTCATCCTCTTGCCCTCAGCTTCCCACAGTGCTGAGATTACAGGTGTGGACACTGTGCCCTGCTTTTTTTTTTTTTTGGTTTTTTGAGACAGGGTCTCACTATGTAGTTGAGACTGACCTGGAACTCACTGTGTAGCCCAGGCTGGTCTCGAACTCACAGCGATCCTCCTGCCTCAGCCTCCTGAGTACTGGGATTACAGGCATGTGCCACCATGTCCAGCTTTGTAATTTTAATTTTTTGAGGAGCCCTCTTACTGTTTTTCTATAGTGGCTGCACTAAATTTACATTCCTACCAACTGTGAGCAAGAATTTCCTTTTCTCCACATGCCAACACTTGTTATCTCTTGTCTTTTTGATAATAGCCAGCATTAGGGGAGTGAGTGGAATCTCATTGTGGTTTTGATTTGCATTTCGATGATGGTCAGTGATACGAAACATTTCTTCATCTACCTGTTGCCATCTGTGTCTTCTACAGTTATTTTTACCTCTCTTTTGGGCTTCTGTCCAGAATTTCAGGCTGACATGCTTCTGTTTTCTATCATATTAGCATTTGATTCTGTTTCCCAAAGGAAATAGCTCTGAAAGGTCTTTTGTACTAGTTAGTAATAAAATTGACTTTGGAAAATTTTTAAAAATTGGTCACTATAAGGGTAGATCTAATCTAGTTACTAAATACCTATGTTAAACTGATTTTTAAAACAAAATAATATAAATTAGTGATTATCCTATGCATACTTTGATTAATAATTAAACTAGAATGGAATTTGAGTTTATTAGCACTAGGCACACTTCTGTATTTTGTTGACTTTACACTATGGAATGAATGTATAATTTGTGTTAAATATGAACATACTCCTTTTCTGAATGAGTGGCCACCAGACATTAGTTTTTTGGGGTTCAGTGTACAGAAGTCCTTGACTGTGGAGCAAGGGCTCATTCTTCTGTGTCCGTGGTGGACCAGCCCATGCCCTGTCTTTGGCGTCGAGTAACACTTGAGTGACGGGTGTGCATTTGTCCGGACACCGAGGAGAAGCCTCCCACTCACTGGCCATGGTGAAGGTGGCCCGTGGGGCTGCCTGGTCTCACTGACAGGCACTGCCTGCCCCGCTTTGGTTCACGCTGGCTCTGCTGGCCACCACACAGTGTGCTGAGTCACACACAGCTCTGCGTGGCTGCCACTGTGTTCACCCCTTTGTGGCTCTGTGATTCCTTCTGTAGCTTTTTAGGACCACCTCAGCGATGACCAGATGGTGAGGCACCGAATCCTTATGAAGTAGCTGAAGGTTCTGAGAAAGAAGGACAGGAGTGCCAGGTGGAACAGATTCATCTTTAGCATCCAAAGACTTTTATTTTTTAAATTTTATTTTATCTCATTTTTGTACTGGTGATCAAACTCCGCTCTTTGAGCTTGTGAGGCAGGCGGCAGAACCACTGAGCTAAATCCCCAGTCCCCAAAGACCTTTATTTTGTTGCTTTAAAAAGTGGACATGGCTTTAATATTGAAAATCATGGTAGCTAGTGTTCTTGAATGTGTGTATGTCCTGGGCTGGGCTCTCTTCTGAGTGGTTTACATATACACCTGTCCCTTCTTACCTACGAGGGGCACGCTCCAGACCTCCATAGGTGCAACCCTGAAGTCTCAGACAGTATTGATCTCTAAAATGTATATTGTTTTCCTTCATATGTACATATCTATAATAAAGTTTACTTAATAGATTAGACACAGGCAGAAATGAACAAAAACTTGTAAGAAAACAGAATTATAACATACACTATATTGAAGGTTATTTAAAACTTAGGAATTATTTATTTCTTCATTTCCCACTTAACATTTTGAGACCCCAACCGACAGGATAAGGAATGGAAACCACCACAGGAAGCAAAGTGGTGGGCAGGGGAGACAATTGTGTCTTCTTGTTCTTACTGCAGCCTGTGAACTAGGTGCCTATGACTTCAGTTGAGTGATGAAATCAGGACAGAGAGCTTAACTGAACCTACCACTGTCACACAGCCTGAAAGTGGTGAAACCATGTGACCCAGATGGCTTTACTATTAGAAGCTACTGTGTAAGGAGTGCTAGGATTTAAAGTAAGCTTATATTTACTTTTATAGTTACTTGATCCTGAATGCATTAAAAAACAACAAAAAAGCCTGTGCAGCCCCTTTCGTAATGGCTGGGACTTTGCTGGTGTAGCCTTCTGGTTCTGCTGGCTGTGTGGCCCCAAACAGGTTGCATTTAATTCTCTGGGCTACAGTTTCTCACCTGTAAAGGAAGTGAGGTCCTAGGGATCCCAGGTAGCCTGTTTTAGGCTCTAATGTTCTGTGATTTTAAGTGTTTCTTTGGTCCTGTGAAATACATTAAACCTGGATGAAGTTGGACGGTGCCCTTTCCCTTTTCTGCATTTTCTCTGGAACTTCTGCTCTGGACACAGAGGACATGGACAGAGCAGCATCAGTCTGAGGGAAACAGGAGCGGGTCAGAAGAAGAAGGTGGACACAGAGCTGGCATCTGGGCCGTGTGTGTGTGTGTGTGTGTGTGCGTGTGTGTAGGGCCCCTGTCCTCCTCTGTGAAGCTGGGACCTAGAGGTGGCTCCTAACAGTGAGTCTGAATTGCCAAGGCTGGTGAAAAGCCTCATCATGACTCCTGTGTTTCAAGAAGCAGACTTCGTTCTTCAAAGAGTGTCGCTTGCTTTTTAGCACACTTTATCTATTTCAGTATGGATTTCCTTAGACGCCGTATGCAAATCTGGTGGCTGTTGCTTCATCGTTTAGGAAGTTTGTTTCAAGGTACGGATTGCGGGTCTCTGCCTCAGACCTGTGCAGCAGGAATAATCAGGTGGGACCTGCGGAACC